ATATAAATAATATAAATAATATAAACTTTTAGTCAGGTTAAATTATAATCGAATATTCAAACATACAGTAACAATTTATGCCCGCATATGTTAGGGTACTTACACATCTTATTCATTTAATTAATTTATTAAAAATAATTACTGATATTACTCGAAATAATATGCAGCAGTAACGTGTTGATAACAAAACTTCCTTTAACTGTCTATTATTAATTATTAACTTTAACAAATAATATTTTAATGTCACTTAAATTTACTCTCTCAAGCTGAAGAATATTAATACTAGAGTTTAACGAAAACCACATTTTGACCATCAGCCGAAAACCAATATTCGATTGTCATTCAATTTCGGCGAAAACGAAACTGAAACCGAAACTTAAATAAATCTTGAGAGAGAGAGAGAGAGAGAGAGAGAGAGAGAGAGAGAGAGAGAGAAAGAGAAAGGGAGAGAGGGGAGGGAAGAGAGAAGAGGGGGAGGGGAAAGAGAGAGAAGCGGAGTCACATTTTTTCGGCCAGAGTCGAAATCGACATTTTTTTATTAATTCTACAAAGACTGTATGATTTTCAGAAAACATGACAAATTTATTCTTTAAAAAGAGAGAGATTTTATTAAAATATCTAATTATAACAGTATAATAATATTTGCATCCTCAACTTTTAAAACGAAATCAAATCACAGTTATTAGGATCATATCAAAGTTTGTATTCAAAATTATCTTAAGCTTAATCGACAAGTAGTAATTAATAAACAAGTAGTAATTAAAATCGAAATTGTTTTTGAACGCTTAAACACGTTGCAACTGTACAATTTCGGTTTATCTACTGAAATTTTCTCTTAATTTTGGCCGAAATCAAAATTAAATCGAAATTCTGATTTTGACCGAAACTGACCGAAACCGAAATAGAAACCGAAGTTTCAGATTCTATTAATACATAATTTTATTTGACCGAAATTTACTTGCTTTCTCTTCAATCAGTCCTTATTTTATTATAAAACTTGTTTTATTATCAAAAAATGTTGTAACAGATATATTTCATGTTTTATGCTTACTTTTCCAATTCAATTTTTATATTTTTTAAATATAAGAGATGCAAAACTGTACAATTGAACTATGTAAATAATTGTTTTCACGTTTTATAATATTAATTAAAATATTAAGATTATAATATAGATGTATGTAAAGATATATTTTCTTAAAAAAACTTCGCAAAAACAATAGATCTGCACAGTATTTGCAGTTATCTATATAAAATTATTTAGATAACATCTAAATTATGTAAAATTACTTTAATTAACCATCTAATCATTCTGGAAAGATATTTATGTGCATTTAATTTCAAAAAGTAAACATAATCTCATCTTGTTTTCGTTCGAAGATGCAACTTTTGATTTGGATGTTCCATACTATTTCATTAAGACGATTAAGATACACATAGTTTTATCCAAATTACGTCGATATTTGTAACTTTGGATGAGAATTCTCAATATTTCTGCATCGAATCCATCTTGAACAAACGATGAATAACGATAGCAGCACAAGCAATTTCTGCGCCAAGCAATTTCTTCTTTAAACCGTTTTCGCGTTAAGGCTGAAAAATACAATATTCAATTTAACGAGATTACCGAACAGATAGGCCAAGTAGTAGCTCATGTACATGAAAATTATCAAGGATAAGTCAAACATTGAACGGCAATAAGTAATTTATGTTTCAATTAATATCTATTTGTTGATGAATATATAATTTTATAGTTATGCCGTAATATATATTTTATATTTATTAATGGTGTTGGTCCATATGACATTGCTCTGCTTAAGTTTGCGTCTCCATTAATAAAGGAATTGACAAAGGAAGTACAAGCCATCGAATTAGCATCACCAGAAAGTGAATCAACTGGAAAGACATGACTTTGTGGATAAGGTCCACTTCAACTGACATTTTTCCCAAAATTCCAGATAAACTTCAACAAATTCAAATGGAATACATTAATCGCATAATATGTTACGAAGCTGTTAGTAATTTGACAAGATCTTCTTTTTCTCCTGTTCACGAAACAGTTGTCTGTACTGGGCCATCGGACAAAGCGATTTCCGCATACAGCGTAAATGTCAGACATTCAGTAAATTCAGTAAATGACAATAGCTTTGTTATCGTCTATTAATGTAGCAATTTAATGTCAAGTTTTTAATACACTTTTAGAGTGATTCTGGTGGCCCATTAATTTCGCGTAATGGAGAAAAACTGTTTCTCATTGGAATTATATTTTGGAGTATTTTTCTATGGGGGGAGGGGCTAGTACTGCAGGTGCGTCATCTGTATACACCAAGGTATCCAGTTTCAACAATTGATTCGAGCAGAAAATCATCATAATTATTAATGACAGCAATATTGATGCTATATCAAATGCATACTGAATAACGAATTATTGTATATTATTCGACAAAAAGTCAACACGCAGCTTAAATAAATAATGACGTCTTTTATTCCGATCCACCTAGAGTAGAAAACTAAATAGTAATTTGAATGAAGAAAACGTCTTTGATAACTATTTATGTTTTTATTTTATTCAATAGATAACACAGTACACATAAGTTACAAATTATCTTATAAATATATACTTGTCACAGTGATATTAACTAAAAAATAAACAATACCTATTCTAAGTTAATATACTTAAAATAATTCTTGAATCTAATACAAGGGTAATATAGGATAATCATATAATTGTTACAAAAATAAATTTAATATGGCAAAAGTCAATCCAAAATTATTAAATTCATGCTAAAATACATTATATCCAAAATATGCAATATGCAAAATAAATTAATTATATATACCTTCAGTTTATACCTTTTAGCACAAATTTAAATACAATAGATACCAAACTATTGCATTGTAAAGAATTGTTTGCAGATTTTATTGATTGGTAATATTATTATATAACGATTATAAGATACATTCATAAAGTATCACAAAAAACAATTCTGAATAACAATGCACTATTCGAATGATAAAAATTAAAGATTCTTAGACTTTTATACAGTATATAAAATACAGTAGCAAGAGAGGCAAATAGTTGAAAGACTCACTTCCCTAATCAAATTCTCCAATCAAATATATTTTACAAATGTATATTTAATAATTCATTTACTATTTCTTGATAGCATTCGTGATTACTTTTATTGCGGCTAGTGCTTCCTTGGCTGTCGGAATAATATGCTGAGGTGGCAGTAGGAAGCCGTGTCTTCCAGTGTCCCGCAGTTCGATCGTGTATGCATACTTGATCTTGAGCAGAGCTTTAGCCCAGTCATCAGAACCGCCAGCAGCAGGATACAACGTTATCGCGCTATTTCCGACGGTATACTCTGTATTATCGCCTCCTTCGTACTTCATATATTTAGCTGCTTCAAGCCCTACCGCATCAAGATCTCGGTAATCAGGCGGCAAACGCTGATCATATCCCCATGGATATAAAATATATTGGCCATATGAATGAAACGATACATATGCCTGTAAGAAAAAAGTAATGAAGTACTACAATGGCATGAAAAGAATATTTCAAAATTTATAAAGTTAATTTCTGAGATTGAATTGTCCG